AAAACAGCCATCAGCCCCTCATACAGGCTGGTCAGGCACCCCAGTGGGGACCCTCACCCTAAAGAGGGTGTGACCAGCTGCAAACAGCCATCAGCCCCTTACCCAGGCTGGCCAGGAACCCAAGCGGGACCCCCACCCTGATCCAGGACACCCTTCAGGGCAAACCAGCCGGCCCCCACTGGTGCACCTATATAGGCCTCTAGTCTATATTGTAAAAGGGTTATATGCAAACTGACCCTAACAGCAGAAAGACTGGGAATGACTGGTCACTATGACACACACTGACCACCAGGGGGCAGACGCTCAATGTAGGAGCTGCCCTCTGGTGGTCAGTGCTCCCCTGCATGGGGGAGCTCTGCTCAGCCACAAGCCAAGCTGATGGCTGCCAGTACAGCAGTGGTGATGGGAACCTCTCCTGCCTCCTCAGCAGCGCTAAGGATGTCTGACTGCAGCTTAGGTCTGCTCCCCGCTGGCAAGTGGACATCCCCCGAGGGCTGCCGGGCTGCCAGAAGGATGTCTGATTGCCAGCTTCGTCCCAATCCCCCGGGCATCAGGCCTAAGCCAGCAGGTGGTCATCCCCCGAGGGGTACCAGACCGCGAGAGGGGACAGGCCGGCCTGAGGGACCCCCCCCCCCCCAGTGCACAAAAATTTGTGCACTGGGCCTCTAGTATAATATAATGGGCTAAAGCTCATAAGTTCTTGCATTTATATGTGCTCTCTCACACCTCCATTTTTTCCCTATAGGATAGAGGGGGTTATTGCTTAGTAATATTTCATGCAAGAAAATCTATATGTTGCAAACTCAAGATGACCCATTATGTGACATAGTTACCCCAGACTGAATAAGCAGACCATGTCCTTAGTGAGCGAAATGATGATCTTCAGTGCTGCTGTGTACATTTAGTCTGTGTCTTGGGCAAGGACACTGAGATGATAAGGGAGTCTTAAAAATGTATGAAGAATTTTATAGGCACCCAGTTTGTTTACCATAAGGAAAACAAAATTGGACTAGGAAATCATTCCACTTTTCTCTTCCATGTTTGAATGTCTGTCTTGGGAATATCTAGAGTAACCTAGTGGATGGAAGTTACAGGGACAGATTTCCTCTAAGTGTAGGAAAACGAAAGAGAAGATTTGACGATGGGATAAGCTGCTGTCTATGGGAAAATGCAACCTTCGGTCAGGGTTGTGGGTAGACACTGGGTGGATAGTAGGATGTGGGTTAGGCTGTTTTTTTTGTTTGTTTTGTTTTGTTGTGTTTTTTTTTTTTGTGTGTGTGTGTGTGTGTGTGTGTGTGTCTGTGTGTGTTTTCCTCCAACTTTAGAAGTATATTTTAGTGAATTAGCAAAAATAAATTTAGTAAAATATTTAGTCAAAACTGAACCTCCCCCTTTTTTTATATCAGACTTAGCGATATAATTGCCATAAAACGTAGTCCTGTCTCAAACAAAATTTTGCTTTTGTGGTGATTACACAAGGTAATATAATTGCCAAAATTACTTACTTCCAATTGGTTCTTCACACTTCATTCAGAGTAATCATTACCAAATACTAGTCTCTTCATACCACCTCCCTGCTTAAGACACAGTCACTCTGCATTCATTGTAGGACAAGAGTACCCATTCTTAACATGGCCCACAAAGTCCAGCAAGGTCTACTGCTACCTGCTTCTCCAGTTTTATATTGTATCGCCCTCCATTTCCAGTTCAACCATGTTGGCCTTCTAGTAATTTCTCAAGCGCACACCCTGCTCCCATTTGCCACACATCAGTTCTCGTGCTGTTATTTTTCTGCATGGATGGCCTTCTTATTCCTAGATGACGCCTGCTGTCACCCTCCAGGCCTCGGTTCATTTTTAACTTAAGCACGGAAGTGTTTCTAACCTTCCTGCCGAGATCTCATGTCCTGTCACACATGCTCATACTCTATATTTCTCATTCACAGCATTGACCACTGTTACAATTTACATTTGATTATGTAACTATGTGATTCAGTGTCTGCTTTTCCTGCTAAAATATAAGCATCTGAAGGCAAAAGGCATTTTCTGTTCGTAGTTCACTGTTGAACCCCTGGTGCCTTGCAATATGTGCAAATCACACTAATATGTGTTGAGTGAGTAGTGTAAGCAGAACACTTCCTATAAAGTACTGAAGAGAACATTTAGAGAAAGAATGGGATATGGTGACCCTCAGGCGATACATTCATTTTATATAGTGCTTGCATTTTTAAAGACTTTTTTCACCAAAGCCCTAAGAGCTAAGTATATTACATTATATTAACTTTACAGGTAAAGACATTTTATCTTTGTCAACTTTACAAATTAGGGTAGTTAACCAGATCAAGACTCATAGTTATTAAGTGACAGATTTAAGATAAGAAACCAGGAGTTTGAGATTTTTAGGAAAATAACCAACCACTTGATATACCCAGGTGTTATATTCATCACTTGCTTCAAATGGCATAGTGTCTTACAATTTTTTTTATAGGACTGTCTTAGTTTGGGCTGCTATAACAAAATACCATAGACTGAGTAGCTTACACAACAAACATTAATTTTTCACGGTTCTGGAGGCTGGGGAGTTCAAGATCAAGGTACCAGCAGATTCACTGTCGGGTGAGGGATCTCTTCTTGGCTTGCTGTGTCTTCCCATGGAGAAGAGGGAGGAGAGCTCTGGTCTCTTTTTCCTCTTTAAGGTCACTAATCATAACCTGGGTTCTACCTTCATGATCTTATCTAATCCTCACTACCTCCCAAAGGCTCTACCGCCAAATGCCATTGCATTAGGTTTCCACATGTGAATTTTGGGACACAAACATTCCGTCTATAGCAAGAACTAAGCTATGTTTTATTAATATCTATCTAAATCATTCTTATAGTTTTAAAAATTACATATGGTATTCTCCATTATATTTTAGAGTCCTTGACAGGTAGGATTTTAAATGTGAAAGTAACACTGCCATCTAGTGACAACTAACCTGAATGAAATTTTAGACTAGCTGGTTATGGTCCCAAGGAATGGTGAAGCAAGTTATTCCCATGAGTGGGAAGGGCACATAAGTTAGGCAGTCACTTCTTTTCAGAAACCATTTGAGGCATTTTATTCTTAAGGAGTCATGAATGAATAATAAACAAAGCAGATGCGCTGGTTTGTAGAATGTTACCCAGGCAGTAAGCCGGCGATTGTGCCACTTGACTTTGATCTGTCTCCATTTTTCTCACTTTCGCCACAGCTTCTGAATGAGGGAATCTGTACTCTGATAACCTAACAAAGTGTTTTCATCTTAGTTTAAAGAGCTAAGCACATTCAAGAACAAACAGATGAGGAAATGAGTCCTGGGTAAAATTTCTGGTTAGATCTTGCAGCATCTAAAGGAAGAAGGGAATGCCAAAATAAACTCCATCTATCCCAAGGGGACACTTAGAGCCACTTTGAATTAAATTGCTGAGTGATTTAATGTAAACAACATAATAAAACACTCCAGACACACACAAAAAGTTAGAAAATGAAGTATAAGAATTTTCTTTAACGCATTGAACCACAAAGGAAATTTGGATAACTTATTTGTATCTCTTAAGTCCTAAATTTAATATGGTAGATTTTTAACTGACATATTTTAAATGAATTATTGTCCTGCTAAGTTAATATTGCCGGCAAAAATATTATCTAAAATCCTTTGAGCTAAAAATTTTTTATGTACAGAAGCCAGGTCAAAAGAGATAAAAATTATTCTATTTCTCTGGAGGCCTAAGTAACAAAAACTCATCACTTTCAAAGGATAATGATATTTCTGATTGAGGTGAGAAAATTATATTTAACATTTTTTAAGATAGTCTGTAGAGGATTATTCTATTTTTCCAGTTACTGGTACATGTAATGAACAGTCTCCCTAAGGTGTCCTGACTTATGCTATAGAAATAGCCTAACTGGAAATATTAAATTTTTTATATAAGTCAATGAAAATTATTGCTTTTCTGACACTACTTATTACCTGGTTTCCCCTTCAGGAATAATATTTCATATACTGACAATAAAGAATGTGTAACAGACTTGCTATTTTGCCAAGAGTTAAGTTGGAAATCTCAGGGCACGAACCATTTTAACATAAGAAAAGCATCTGAGTTGCACTTACTTCTTGGGCAATATCCTTAAAATAGTAATTTTATGCTTATTTCTGGACAAGTGTACAGATATGACCTCGTCTCTTGTTTTCAAGTGATAAACTATTCATATGAAGAATGTGGGTAGTACCAGACAATAGCAGATGACAATCTAGCAAGAATTGGATTAAAATTAGTTGCCAAAAAGTATTGCATCAATACTGAAGGGGGAACATTTTTTTTTTTTTTTTTGGAAAAGTGTGTTGTGTAATATGGTTTTGATTAGCTTTGCATGAGACACAGCTGATCTGGGGCCTCCCATAATTTTGTGTCAGGGTCAAACTCTGGAGTTGTGCTGACGATGAAACGTGAAAGATGGGTAGTTAGTAAGGTGAAGAGCTTACAGGCAGGTGGTGGTGTGGAAGGGGGCTGTGCGGAGGCTCAGAGTGTTCTAGAGAGAGAATGTCAACTTCAATTAAAAAAACCATCTTAAATATATATAGAAAACATAAACACAAAGCTTTGTTTGATGTTGTCGGTATCTTATCGATGAACAAAGGATTCAACACTGCGGCAGTGTGGAAGTGAAGAATAGACGGAGGCTCTCTAGGGCTCTGGATACCAGAACAGCATGGTGGGGCGGAACAAGAAATTGACCTTGTGCTGGAAAAATGTACTCAGGCCAGAATAACAGTAGTAGAAATGAGAGGTCTAACTTTTATGGCAGTGTAGAGCAGAAAGAAACCAGTTTCTCTTGGGGTTTTGGTGAGGGAAAAGTGGGAGGTTATTCAACACTTGGCATTTACCACAATCCTTAAAGGGAGCAGGGTGAGGTCTGCAGCCTGCTTTCAGTTTACCTGTGTCTTTGGCTGTGTTTTGACCCTGGCTTTCTTTGTTCAGCTAGGATTGTGTCTAAGCAGAGCCTCCGCATCTGTTCTAAACCTCAACTGCAGCCTCATCCTGTTACCCATGTGCCGGACACTCCTTGCTTACCTTCGAGGATCCCAGAAGGTAAGAAACATAGAATTCTAGTCACAGATTGCAGCATACCGATCCAGTGCAACAGCAGCAGGTTAGTCCTGCTTAGTTCTTGTGGTCTGATTTTCTGCTAGAGCGATTGCCTCAAACATGACAGGGAAGACCATGTCACCTGCCAAGATGATTAGTGAACTATTCCAGAAAACAGCACTAAAGACAGAGGGTCATAGACTATGCCAAGCACTTCACATATATAGCCGTGAAGCCTCACAATGATTCTGTAATCAGATATTGCAGATGCAGAAGCTGAAGCATAGAGGGTTTAGGTAATTTGAAGATCATGAGACTAATGAAAGGCAGAGCTAAGATCAGTCCTACTTCTGAGCTCTTTCCACAGTACTCTGCCTCACCGCGATCCTGTTTTTCATTTAGTTCAGTCCCCACAAACACACTCAAGCCCTGTGGTTTTTGAGCAATGCATAGAGTGAGTGTTACTGTTGGTGGCAATTTATCTCTTAAAACACATACCTGTTTTGAGCCACGTAATAGGCTTAGAAAATGTCTTGATTAAGTAGTGGTGTCATGTGTGGATATTTAGTGTTGTAAAATGAAGGATTTGAGAGAACAGAAAAGCACTTTGAAATTCTTTTGTCAAGTATCCTTGTGTGTGTGTGTGTGTGTGTGGTGTATGCTGTGCTGTGGTTATTTCTTCTCTAAGATGGTAAGGCACCACTGGATAGATACTGATATTTTAAAAGGAGTTGTTAATGTGAGGTCACTTGGCTGTCCTGTGAACTTTATATGACTGGATTTACTACAGTAAAAATTCCCAACCTTTTCATGTGATTACATTTGGAAACTCTTTGCTTTTACTGTGGCAATTTGTGGAAATAACTCTTGGTTGCCCAATTGTAAAATGCTAGGTTGTGATCTCTGTGGCTGGCCATTGGCTTGGCATGAAGAAAGAGAAGATAAATGGCTGGAGAAGACAAGTGCCCACCTAAGTCCTTCAGTATTTAATGTCTTAAAGAATTGTCCCTGAGTGTAAAACATAGTTATTCAAAGATGCTTGACATTTTATTTTTCTTAAGATCAAACAGGCATTTAAAACCATATATGGAATTGCTTTATTTAAGAAATAATCTTTCTTTATTTTTACTGCAAAAGGAAATCATATATATAGTGAAATTCAAAAATTCCAGAAATATCTGAAGTAATCAGTGAAGTTTTCTCCTAGCATTTCTCTGTCAGGACAACTGCTGATTATAATTTGGGGTAAATACCTATGTCTATGTTAACATAGAATGCTACTAATTTTAAACAATATAAGATTTTCTGTTTTATAACTCTTACCTAACAATAAATCTTGCACATTTCTTCATATCAATAAGTCTTCTCACATTCTATTTAATAGTTTGAGTGTTCCCTTGATTAGATATATCATAATTTGTCTCACTGCTTTTTAACTTGATAGGCCTCTGTCATGTTTCTAAAACACTGATATTGTAAAAATGCTGTAGTGAAAAGCTTTGTACACATATGTTATTTACTGCATCATTTTTACAGTAGTAAATGGTTGTCATGTAGGTTCCAAGCAGGAGAACCAGAAGATTGTTGGATAAAAGCAGAACATTCCATATCATCTGTGGTGTTACCATCTGTATTTTCTCAGGTGAGAAAACCAAAAGCTATTTAATATTATCTTATAATCATATGTTATAAATGGTATTTTTATTATTCTATAAATTATTTACTGTCACAAACTCGTGATTTTCTTATACAGCTTAATTTTCTCTTCCATATTTTTAAAGAGGGTTGTCTATTGGTGCTACAGAAAATACGTGTGTCTTATGCTAAGTTTGACCTTCAAGCTGGCAATGATTGTTTCCTATAGGTAAATAATTTAATTTAAAAAGATTGAAAGGAGCAAACTATAAGTTTTTAAGCTCTGAAAGTAATGATATGATAGGAGTGTAAATGCATCAAAATTGGATTGCAAAGTGTACATTCATTGAATACGATACCAGCCAAAATTATAGTTGATAAATATTTCTTTGAAAATGATACTTGCTTAGAGGAGCATATTTCAAAAGTTTGTGGAAATTCATCCTGCTCAATTCCAAGTTAAAATATAAAGTGAGAATCTTTTGATTTTTAAGAATCATTTTAAAATAAATTTTTATCCTGAGTATTTCTATAATACTTTAAAATATTTTGGAGCAGAAAGTAATAAATATATGATTTAGTGCATAGACTCTGGAGATGGATTATGTAGGTTTTATCCCCAGCTGCCTTTCTGCCTGGAGAACATGTGTATATGAAGTTCTTAGGTTAGAATTTGTTATATAGTTTACAGTCTGAGGGATTAATTATATCAGTGGCATAGCTCCTTACATTTTCATCTGGTTGTTATTTGTAGAATGGAGCTATTTTGGTGCTAGGGACCTTTGGTCTGGATAGTTATGTAAGGCCATTTTGAACCAGGAGTCTTTGGATACAGCTATTCCCAAGATATATTAAACTTTAAGCTTTTTAATTATTACCAAGCATTTTTTTACTTTCTCATTCCTGAACACCTATCTTTCCATTGGTAGTTGCCCCCTTTGGTGGTGAGAGATGGAGAGAGGCTTAGGGATGGGATTAGAACTCTGGTGCAGCCAAGTCTGGGGATGGAGTACGCATCAGGAAGAGATGAGGGCCGAGGGTGTGATAAGTGTTAGGGATGGATTAGAGCTAGGGAGGGGGATCATGAAACACTGGCACATTCATAGCTTCATTTATTCTTTGGTTCAGTTGCAGAATAACCACAACTGAGTTGGTGTAGAGTATTGCCATGAATGAGCATGTTTTCCAGGGGGTCTACATTCTGCACCTGGCTAGTGGTCTGACCTTAGCTAAATTACCTTTCTAACCTTTGTTTTCTTATCTGTAAAACAGGGATGATTCTACTTACCTCACTGTTTTATTGTTAAAATTACATGGAAAATCTATACAAAGTGCCTGGCATAGCTTTCTCCCTGCTGACTAAAATCAGAAGCTCTGAATTCTTTTGACCTAAAAGGCCTTATAAAGAAGGTGAATGTATCTCATACAGCTACCACCTAGAACAGTGATGGCGAACCTATGACATGCGTGTCAGAGGTGACACGCGAACTCATTTTTTTGGTTGATTTTTCTTTGTTAAATAGCATTTAAATATATAAAATAAATATCAAAAATATAAATCTTTGTTTTACTATGGTTGCAAATATCAAAAAATTTCTATATGTGACACGGCACCAGAATTAAGTTAGGGTTTTTCAAAATGCTGACACGCCGAGCTCAAAAGGTTCGCCATCACTGACCTAGAACTTTTACTCAGGAGAATTCAGAAAGAATGGCTATTCCTCAAAGGAAGCCGTTATGCTTTTGACAATTAAGTATGTAGTTAACATATAAATCTTTAATTTTAAATAAAAGGAATTTTTTTTTTACTATTAATTTCTGAAGTGGTGAAGCTGTAGGAGATAGTTTTGCTTAAATAATGTTTTATACCTTTGCCAAAGTTGAGTCTCACTTAAATGTTCTTTGTTTTATTTCTTTGAAACCTTGCCATTGCTTGTTAATTAATCCACTTCTAGTTCCCTGGCCACTTTTTTTGTTGTTGTTGTTAATCCTCCCTCAAGGATATTTTTCCATTTATTTTCAGAGAGAGTGGAAAGGAGGGGGAAAGACATACAGAGAGAAACATCAATATGAGAGAGAAGCATCAATTGGTTGCCTCCCACATGTGCCCCGACTGGGCTGGGGATCGAGCCTGCAACCTAGGCATGTGCCGTGACTGGAATTGAACCTGGGACCCTTCAGTCCACAGGCAAACACTTTATCCACTGAGGTAGGGCCAAACTGGCTAGGGCCCTGGTAAACTTTTTATGAGACCCTCTTCTCTTCTCTAACTTGATCACTGGCAGGAGCTTATAAATCCTTTAAATAATTTTTAGGTTATTTAGTATTCTAGTCCTCTCTCATTTTGATTGTCTTTGTGAGTAACTCAGAGCTCTTGGCCTATCTATATCTCAAACGTTAGGTTTGAGGGAATTGTAGAGTTTTGTACTTTCTAGGCCATGTCTTATTTTGAATCACCGCCTCCATGTATTTGCGTAAACTATAATGGTTTACTAAGCAATTTTGAGTCACTTATTAAGTCTCTTATTTCTGTCATTTTTTAAAACATTCATCCTCCAAGGATATGTTATTATTAATTTTTAGAGAGAGAAGAAGGGGGAGAGAGAAACATTGATGTGAGAAACATAGATTAGTTGCCTCCTGTTATGCCCCCAACACGGGGACAAACCCACAACCTACCTGCCTGCTTGAGATTCAAACCTTCAACCTTCTGGTTTACAGGATGACACTCCAACCGACTGAGCCACCAGCCAGAGCAGTGATTCTGTCATTTTATAGAGAAGTAATTTGAGGTGCTAGTATGCCAATACAATAGCCAGGAAGACAGGTTCCCAACTAAACAGCTGTTGTTCTTTATGATGTACTGTTAATTAAAGCCACATTTCACCTATAAGAAAAGGTTAGAAAGGGAGGAGGGCATTAGACTCGTCCAATACACAAGTCATTTACTCCTTCCTTGTCCAACCTCCTCAATATAATTTTCTTTTTTCCCTGGCATGCCAAAATGAATTTGCTTTCACCTCAATTTCCTAACACTTTTATATTTTGTATGAGCTCCAAGTCAGTTGAGCACTCTGTTTATTGTGCCATTGCAGACTGATTATTAAATGGCAATACTCTACTAGCTCAGTCTTGTGGTTGTTCTCCAACTGAGGGGAAGGGAAGCGGAGAGAAAGAAAGAAACATCAGTGATGAGAGAGAATCATTGATCAGCTGCCTCCTGCACTGTGGGATACTCCACACTGGGGATCCAGCCGGCAACCAGAGCACGTGCCCTGACTGGGAATCCAACCATGACCTCCTGATTCATAGGTTGACACTCAACCACTGAGCCACGCTGGCTGGGCATTACCAAACACTTTTGCTGTTGTGTTTAGGACATTATGATTTGAATTTGTAGATTGTGAAAAATGTTCACTGGTTAAAAGCCTTTCAATGAACCTATATTTTAGGTTATGTGGCAGTAAAGTGTACAAGATCTATAATAGGTTGGGAGTTAGGGGAGATGTGAAAGGTGTGAAACATCTAAAACATCCAGGAGCTGCTTGAAATCAATAAGTAAATGTCCATATTATTATATTACTTGCCTGTGTAAATGTGTGTGCATGTCATTGCAGTGGAGACTGTCCACAGTGCCATTCCAAGAACCTTGACTTACAAAGGTTCTTTTATTCTAGCCTTTGGAAATTCAGTTTCTTTACTTGATTTTTAATACTGAAACTGTCTATAATTAAGATTGCTTGTGTCTTTAAAACTCCCCCTTTAAATTTAAAATTGTATTGCTCGTGAAGCTGTCAAAGTTTGATCCTGTATTTACCTAGAGGGAAGAACTGACTCCTCTTCATTGACCTGAAAATCAGTCCCACTGACTTGTGCCTGTTGCGATTCCGTAGGTGTGCATGTGGCTGCCCACCTGGTGAATGTCCTCAGTTTCTCAGAGAACTACCGTGAGGATTTCCTTGAACTGAATGTAGCAAGATATCGAGATGAGGTGGGTGGTGTTTGTCTCCTCGTTTTTCTTCCACTCGTCATGGTCATGAGATGACTAATGAGGGTATGCCAGTTTCACAGAAAATTTGTACCTTACTGCTTCTTTCGAGTGCTCTTAACTGCAGTTGTCAACTGGAGTTTTATTCCTTTTCCATTGGAAATGTAGGTAATCACTATTTCACGGTCTCTCCTGCTGGAAATGGGAGTGGGGAGAGTGTCTGTTTTCTATGATGTGCAGTGTTCAGATGGTTGCCACCCAAGCCTGCCTGCTGCCTCCCAACAGCTTTTGTCTAATTCCTGTCATGCAGTGGAGACTGTCTACAGTGCCATTCCAGGGTAACAATCCTTCACTCAGAAACCATGCTTGGGGGAAACAGGGCAGAAAAGCAGGTGGATCATTTGAGGGTCCTGGATAATCAGGACATTATTGAGTTTTAATGATCCAGTCATTTGTTTTGTTTTTTAATCCTCGAAACAGGTGACCTTGAGCTGAATTCTGTAGCAGGCAATGCCTGTCTGAGGTGTGCCTTTCTCCACGTGCAGCTGCCCATGAAATGAAATCATGTGTGGGAGGGGCCAGGCCAGAGCCTGATGAGCAGCATATGCACAGCCCTGGTTGGATCCTGTTGCTCAGTACTTTCTGTCCTCGGGCAGCCCTTGCTTCATGCCAAGACGGCATTAAAACCCCACTGCTCTGTTTTCCATTTGATCAGAACCCTGCCTGTTCTGCTAAGGCTGGTAGTGACCTAATGAGTTATTATTCCCCATCTCCTCTCACTCTCTGTTTACTCTACCACATATCACCAGTTTTAGCTAGATTAATACCACTCATATGTTTGACCTCCCTCCCAAAGCAAAACAAAAAAAATAACAACAAACATAGAAACAAATCTCAAAACCCAAATCGCAAGCAGCCTTTGATAAATCCTTTGACTATAATAGTGTTTTTGAAGCCACCAGTATGATTTAATTGATCTGGTTTGGGGTAAGGCATTGTTATTTTTTCAAAATGTATTTTTTTTTATTGATTTTCAGAGAGGAAGAGAGAGGGAGCGAGAGATGGAAACATCAGTGATGAGTGAGAATCATTGATTGGCTGCCTCCTGCATGCCCCCGACTGGGGATCGAGCCTGGGCAGGTGCCTTGATCTCCTGGTTCATAGATTGATGGTCAACCACTGAGACACACCGGCTGGGCCGGCATTGTTATTTTTAAAGAGCTCACTGGGTGATTGTAGTGTGCGCCCGGCATTAAAAACCACTGAAAAGTCCAACTTTGTAGCAGGACAATGGAAGCTCTTTCATGTAATGATTTCAGATCAGAGCCATCGCTTCCCCATTTACCACTGCATCCATCCATCCCTTTATCCTCTGCGATTTCCTTTTTTAACTTTGCCTTCTTTTCTTCTCTCTTTTGTTTTTATAATTCATATGTCTTTAATAACTATACTGCTTGTATTACTTTAAAAATGTAATATAATTTTGTTTAATATTTCAATACCTGTAGTCGTTACATTTATTTTTTATTTTAAAAGGGATATATGCTCAGTGTAAAATAGTTTAAAACTATCAAGTATATGAAAAATAAAAGCTTCTCCTCCCAAAATAGCCACAGTTAATTATTTTATGTTTTCTCTTAAGATATTTTAAGTGGTATTTTATGATCCAGATTTCTCAGCAGTTGACTTGTTTCCATAAATATATGTAATGTGACTTGCTATATCAGAAATATATCTTATTCCTTTCTTATTAGCAGGCTATTATATCTTTTTAGCCTTTTCCTTATTCACAGATGTTTAGGTTAATTTCTAGTTTTTCTTATGATCCACTTGCCAATAAATTATTTTTTTTGGCACATTACTGCTAGGCATTTTTATAGAAGTAGCATTTGGTTTCAAAGGCATACTCATTTTTAATTTTTAATGGACATTGCCAAATTTACTTTCAAAAAGGCTTCACCAGTTGACACACTTCTACCAAGTTTATCAGACTGCTTATTTCTACACCTCACTTTAAAAAAAAACATTTTGCCAAACTGATGGATGAAAAAAGGTAACTAATTTTTTAAATTTGTATTTCTCCTTTCTTTAGTTCTTTCCTTCCATTGTCCCTTTTTATCTCCCTTTCCTCTTTTTGAAAAAATAAATATTTTTGAGCACCTTGTAGATAAAGGCAATGTGTGCTAGATAAAGATGAAAAATACACACACATTCATTGTATGCATAAACAGATATATTCTTCCATGAATTGTCTTTGAAAAGGATGGGTTTGGGCCCTTCACTGTATTGTTCTTGCTTTGTGTTTCCACTCTGCCTCCTCCAGGTCTTCAGTGACCCATCCTTGAACTTGTGATGGTTGCATATTCTTGGCCTAGTTGAATCCGCCTCATTTTGTCATCTGTGAAACCATCTCTTACTCTCACATTCCATCTTCATCCTGTGGCCATATTAATTGTTCCATCATCTGAGTTTCCATAGCTATTTATTCCACTTCATTCAGTTCATCTTCTATTTTTAGCAGTTGTTTATATATTTGGTTGCTCTATATTACTCTTTAGCCAGGTGTAGAAGTCAATTGACCTAAACTGGATGAGGAGCTATTCCTAAGCCAGTGGTCCTTACTCAGTGCCCCTGAAATTGTATCAGACAAAGGCTTCCTACTTTGTATATGCCTGGCCTGATCCCAGACTCACTGGAGGCTTAGGACAGAAATTCACAAGTTGAGCAGTATCAAGCACCATTAGGCTGAAAAAAATAAATCCATAAATTTACTGGGGATTAATCTAAGTTTCCCAGGAGATAGAAAAGCAGTTGACTAAGGTTCATTACACCATGAGATAAGTAGTTTAAATAAAACACAATAGTAATGTTTTACATTTCTGAGTAACGGGAACCTTTTTATCCTCACTACTTTTCACAATATTTAAAACATAAATTCTCAACTAGTAGTCTTTGCACTGAATTTACAGGGTACAACCCTTCCTGGATGTTTTATCACTTTTGATTCCCACTGTCTTGACACATTGTTGGTGCAGTTTGGTAATCTTGGTATTAATGTTTCCACATTAGAGCCAAAAATATTGAGTTTCAATTTGGTCAAAGAGTGGACTTCAGACCACAGCCCCTGGCTTTTAATTAGCCATCAAGATGAAAGCTTAAGCCCTCTCATTCCTCATCCTCTCATTTTTCAGATGGTTAGACTTCTCTGAGTTGAATTTGTACTTGTTATAATCTCCTTTAGCATCATGAAACCATTACAAAACTTGAGTCTTACTTCCATTAGGAGAATAGTATTCTAAATGCTTAAATCATGGATCTTTATACCCATCCCAATTCCTTGTAGAATTTGATATTACCAATGTTTTATCTTTCAGTCAAATATTTTTTCCCCCCTTTTTCTCAGGATCCTAGAAAACTTCTCTTCACAAGTGGTAAGTTTTTATTCATTGCTCTTTCTTAAGATTCAGGAAAATTTTTGAAAATAAGCATCATCAAATTGTATGGCAGTTAGATGTATGTTAAAATATAACATATAGACGTTTGCATATCAGAACAAATAGTAGGAGGAGTTCAAGCATAAAGTTGCAATGACAACAGAGGGACAAGGCGAACAGTTGTGGTTAGAATGAAGAGAAAAAGTAAGCAAATGCATTTGTTTTTCATATGTTCTCCCAATGAAAGCAATATAGTGCCACATGGTTATTGAGGACCTGTTTTGTGCACACTGCTGTGGCAAGTACTGTTGGAGATAATACATGCGGAATAGATTCCTGGCCTCAAGGTGCTGGAAAGGAACATCAAACACTCTGGGCATCATTGTAGCTTTGATAATTCAGTAATTTAGTAGGATATTTTACAGTCTTCAAATCCATAAAACAGGAGAAACAGTCATTAAAGTCAGTTATTTTTCTTATAATGTATCCCCTTTTTATTTGTAATTTACTTTTTCTTCTCAAGCATATTGTCCATGAAATCTCAGTCTAGACTGTTAATTTGTTATTCAAAGCACATGTGAATATCCAAAAATTTTGCTCTGATGTTAGTAAAATTCATACCAAAATTTTACTCTTTTCAACTTTACATTTATACCAATGAAAGGAGAAAACTGTATTTTGGAGGATTTTTAGCACCTATTTCAGAGATTAGGACTTGTGGATAGTTGAGATGGTGTATCATTAAAGGCTTGGCTGTAACATCCTACTAAGGATCAGAGTTGTGTATGGAACTGAGGCATGGCCCTGTCAAATGCATTGTTTTTCTTTTCAATAATTTTATGATGAAAAAGAACAGTAAATCAGTTGATTTCCCCATCCATGTCACAATTATATGGATGTTTAGATTTATAAAATACTAGAGGCCCAGTGCAGGAATTCGTGCACGGGTGAGGTCTGGCCTGCCCACCCCAATGGGAGCCCATCAGGCTGGCAGGGGGTGAGGGTTGCGGGCAGTAGGCGGCTGTCCTGCCTCCAATCGTGGAGTTGGGGGCCGATCGGGGGCCAGGCCAGCCAGGGGTGGGTGGGTGATCATTGCCCAGATCAGGCTGGTTGGCTGCTGCAATGCATGTCATAGCCACTGGTCGTTCCAGTCGTTCTGGTCATTCCACCATTCCAGTTGCTGGTCTTGTATAAATATAGATATTTTGTCTCTGGCTTATGATATTTGCCCCTTGCAAAGTATTTCACCTTTTTCTTCTAGGAATGCAGTTTAGTTTTTTTTACAATTTTGTTCATTGAAACATGGTTCTTTATTTAAGTCCTAAGAATTGGATGAGAAATGGAGGGAAGAAAAAGCAGAAAAATAAAACCTTATGTATAAATCAATGTAGTTTTTGGTTCATATGGAATAATGTAAGAGAAATAAATAAAAACTTTGTTTTGATATAATTTTCTACAGCACACAGCATAGTTGAAGCCTTGGAACATTTGAAATGTTTTTAAATGTTTAGTTTACAAAGATATAAAAATGTTTTTATATGATAAAAATTTTACATTAAGACACTTAGTATAGTTAATATCCTATCTAATAAAAACATGGTAATTAGTGTACGACCACTACCCTTCCCATTGGCTAATCAGGGCAATATGCAAATTAACTGCCAGCCAAGATGGTGGCTGGCAGCCAGGCAGCTTGAAACTAACATGAGGCTTGCTTGCTTCAGTGACGGAGGACTCCAACGTTCCCCGCCTGCCGCTGCAGGCCTCTGAGCTGCAACTCTAAGCAACTATGTAACAAATATAGAAGCTAAACAAAAGCTCAGAAACCTGCTTTAGTCCGCCGGGCTTCAGCCAGCAGGATCGCAACATTGTAAGCAAAGGCCAGAAAACTACTTTCAGCAGTGGAGGCCTAAGAGCTGGAGCCAAGCCTCAAAGCTAAAGCTGGCCCAGAATAAAAAAGAAAAAAGAAAAAAAGGAGCGGTTGGGAGCTTCAGTCACCCCCAGCCTGAAAACATCCCTCAGCCCCTCACCCAGACTGGCCAGGCACCCCAGTGGGGACCCCCACCCTGAAGGTTGTGTGACCAGCTGCAAACAGCCATCATCCCCTCACCCAGGCTCGGCTGGCCAGGCACCCCAGTGGGGACCCCCACCCTGATCCAGGACACCCTTCAGGGCAAACCAGCCGGCCCCCACCCGTGCACCAGGCCTCTATTCTATATAGTAAAAGGGTAATATGCCTCCCAGCACCGGGATCAGCGGAGCCGTGAGGCCTCCCAGCACCGGGATCAGTGGAGCCGCGAGGCCTCCCGGCACCGGGATCAGCGTGACAGGGGGCAGCGCCTAAACCCCCTGATCGCCCTGCGGCTCTGTGTGTGACAGGGTGCGGGGCCACAACCTCCATATCCACCCTCCTCTGTTCATGACAGGGGAAGGCGCCCCAACCCTCTGATCAGCCCTGCTCTGTGCCTGATAGGGGGGAACTCCCCAACCCCCTGATCACCCTGAGGCTCTGTGTGTGACAGGGTGCGGCGCCCCAACCCCCCCGCCCGTGGGCCCTACTCTGTGTGTGACGGGGTAGAGCCATAACCTCCCCATCAGCCCTGCCCTGAGTGTGAGAGTGGCGGTGCCCCAACCCCCTGATCGGCCCTGCTCTGTGGGTGATAGAGGGCGGCGCCCCAACCCCCTGATTGGCCCTGCTCTGTGCATGACAGGGGGGAGCTCCCCAACCCCCTGATGGGCTCTGCTCTGTGCGTGACAGGGTACGGAGCCCCAACCCCCCTGATGGGCCCTGCTCTGTGCATGACAGGGGGTGGCGCCGCAACCTCCCCATCAACCCTGCCTTGAGTGTGACAGGGGACGGTTCCCCAACCCCCCAGTCGGCCCTATCCTGAGCGTGACTGAGGTTGGCATCACAACCTCCAGATCGCCCTGCTCTGTGCATGACGGGGGGCGGTGCCCCAACTCCCCAGTCGGCCCTGCTCTGAGCCCAACCAGGGGCTGCACCTAGGGATTGGGCCTGCCCTCTGCCACCTGGGAGCAGGCCTAAGCCAGCAGGTCGTTATCTCTCGAGGGGTCCCAAACTGCGAGAGGGCACAGGCCGGGCTGAGGGACCCCCCTCCCCACCCCCCGAGTGCACAAATTTTTGTGCACCGGGCCTCTAGTCTATAATAAAAGGCCAGTGGCCATAATGCTGAAACACCAGAAAGACCAACGACTGGTCACCAGGAGGTGCATGGAGCACTTCTTGGTCCCTCCCCCAGCCCGCGAGGGCTTGAGGTGGCGAGGTGGGGCTCACAGCTCGCATGGCGCAGTGTCTTGCAGTGGCGAGCTACTTGCACATGGCAGGTCTGGGGTCCTGCCAAAGCGGTGGCTCTGGGTCTTGTGCGATTTCGCACTGAGCCTCTAGTGTCAATATCAGTGATGGCAAACCTTTTGAGCTCGGCATGTCAGCATTTTGAAAAACCCTAACTTAACTCTGGTGCGTGTCACCTATAGAAATTTTTTGATACTTGCAACCATAGTAAAACAAAGACTTATATTTTTGATATTTATTTTATATATTTAAATGCCATTTAACAAAGAAAAATCAACCAAAAAAATGAGTTCGCCTCTCACCTCTGACACACGTGTCATAGGTTCGCCATCACTGGTCTATATAAACAGGTGATCTTTCCACTTTGCATGAAACCCCATCACCTCTGCTCTTTCCCAGAGATTTTCATGACTGATGTTGGATTAAGTAGAGACAATGCTTAAAAACACAAATTTCCTGGCTCTATCCTAGAGAGCCTGTTGGGCTGGGATCTGGCAATGTGCTTTATTAATCTTCCTATTGACCTTGGGAGCTTCTGTTTTACCCTTATGGAGCATCTCGACAGACCTCTGGAGCATAACTTCTCACTATCACCTATATTTGCCTACTCTCTTAGCTTACTGTCTTTATTACCTGGTTAACCCCTACTCAACCTTTAAGTCTCAGCTGCCTTGCACAAATTCCTCCTGCATTCCACTAGGCAGAGCTGGTCTCTTCTTGATCTGTGTTTCTAAAGATACATAGTAAAAATACTATGTTATCAAATCATTTATTTCCTTACATATGACTGTCTTTTCCACTTGAACATGAACTTTTCCAGGGTGGGACAGTGCTGTCCCAAGGACATGCAAGGACCCGGGCAAATATTTTTGTGGAGTTTCTGTTAGTGCAAACCACATGCAACACCCAAAATCAGCATGTTAGCATCATTTGGTGTCTCAGTCCACATCATTTAATGAAAGCAAGCCATCCACTTCCCAGGGGTTCAGCTTGGAAAGAGGGGTGGAACCCCTCTAAGCATGAGGCTAGAGCTCCTTTGGCATCTGAATGACCCCACTGAATAGTAGCAGGTGAGAGAACAAGGCAGAATCTAAGGATAGTAATGGGATAAGTGACATTGCTTTCTACAAATAGGCTTCATCTAGTTTTGTTTTACTAATACATCTCTGTCTAAAACTGTTTTATAGCTATTTTTGAATTTTGTCAGGCATAGTGCCTAGAAAATATTTAGTTCCCGATGAAGAACTGCATACATGCTTTCAGCTGTTCTAGTGATAAAGAATATTTTTGTATTGATTGACATGTTTCTTGGATTTTAATTTGTTTAATGTTACATAGTCTTTTCTCTCTCTGTCTTTAAAAATTTTCAGTGTAACCTAGGTCTGAGAAATTAAGATTATCTTATAGAAAATAAAGGCAGTGCAAGTGACACAAAATATGGTATAGTTAGACTCACTAAATTAAAAAATGTTTAAAATATTGCAATTAAGAATTTAAGAAATAAAATAAATTTAAAAGATTGGATTACTCATTCACTCAAAAATACTTAATACCTATCACCAAATTTGGTAAATGCAAAATATCTAATTTCTATTAGAAAAACCCTCATAAACATACAATTTTGGTTCCAGTTATGGTTCTGGTTGGAAAGAATAGGACATTAAATACAAGATAGTATATTTCTGACCATATCTGTGTATGAATGAAAATGATCTCTTAGTTTCTTCTAGAAATGGCAGTACAGTGAAATAATTCATTTAAAGGCTATGAATTAATGGATCTTATATGTATAGATAAAAAGCACTAAAAATAAAATTCATGCATGTCTTTTTCTAAGGAAACAAGTATAGGTTTTGCTTCATAACTTGAAGGACTTAGAGAGTTCACACTGTACTTCACTTTGGCAAGTAACTTTGCCCAGTGAAGTTAGACTAACCCAATAATTTCCAACCTGTGCTTCCTGACTCTTGGACTACGTGTAGGAATAGAAGCTAATATTCTCAGATTTAGCTAAGCCGTCGTTTCAGGCTAGGTTACGGTAACCTTTGATGTACCTCACAAACACATAAAGCTTAGCTCTCCGTTAGCACATAATGGCCTACTTGCAATTACCTGTGTGTCTCGTCTCCCAGACTAGAATGAAATCTCTTGTAGAGCAGGATTCATTTTTTTCCCTGGTACACTATAGATGCCCAGAAAATATTCACTGAAAGAATGAAAGCCACTTGTTTAACTCTACTATTGGATGGATAGGCCTTCTCTACAATATCCTAGATAATTTTTTGGCCAAACTCTGTTTAATTCCAGTGACCAAAAAAAATAAATAAATCATAATTTCTTAAGATATCACCCGACCCCTTCTTTTGGACCACTCTAATTGCAATATTTTTTTATTGTTAGTTATATGTAATTTTTTCTTCTTCACTGACCTGAAGTATATTACTTTGTAAATTATAAACTCTGGTATTTTTATACTTCTGGGAGATAGAAAAAAAGATGAATTCTTTGCATAAAAAAGATAACTTCATAAATGGCCTGAGAGAACATTAAAAAGCATTGAATTGAGTCTCCCTAGTTTACAGATGAGATTCAGTGAGATCACAGTTTGGCCTAAAAGGACAGTAACAGGGTCATATTGCCAGAATAAATATACCATTGTTCAAGTTGTCTGGGGTTTCTAGTTCATCTTTAAATGACTGAAGTCAACTGTTTACCCTCTCAGGTCTTTTGAATATATTTTTCACCTTCTGTTATAAAAAAGTTCTCTAGTTAAGCGTTTGAGGAAATACCTGTTCAAATTTAAACTGGTTTCTTGGCTTGAGCACCTCTCAGAGACTTTAATACACTAATGTGCCCTGTGACTTCTCAAGGAATGGTTTCAAAATCCTTAAGTAATAGATATTAATATCCCAAAGAATTAGTGTTCCAATAATACACTTTGGAAATTATGCCTCTATTCTAAACACACTCAGTTTTTTTCAGGTGTCCTCTTCATGAAGTGATTTGCAAACATTCCATAACTAATCTTGACATGTTTAGAATCACATAGGAAATCTTGTATGTAGACTCAGCAGACGTTAATAAATCTCTGGAATAATAAAGTAATAAAACAACTGGAAAGGCCTTCAGCCACAAATTTCACATTATGGAGCCATCTAGGATCCTATCATTTATTTATTCGTTTGGTCAAATAAGGATCTATTTTAATTACTTGAAGCTAGAAAGACCTCCTCTTTTTTCTTAAAATTTATTGAGTTATAATTGAAGTACGTTAAATTATACATATGTAAATTATTCTACTTTATTGGTTTTGACATATGTTTACACTTGTAAAACCATGCCCAAAATCAAGGGAACAAATATATCTATTATTCTAAAAAAATTTTCTACCCCTTTATAATGCATCCTACCCTCTATCCCTCCTAGCAACTAATCTGTTTTCTATCACTAAAGAATGATTTGAATTTTCTCGAATGTTATATAAAAGGAATCATAGAGCTTTTTTCACTCTATGATCATAGATCTGGCTTTTTTCACTCAGCATAATAGTTTTGTGATTCATCTCTGTCATTGCGTATATATCAACAATTCATGGTTGTGGCTTTGTGTGTGTGTGTGTGTGTGTGTGTGTGTGTGTGTGTGTGTGTATGTGTATTTTACCACTGATTACTTTTCCAGGTACAGCTAATAATACCACAATTGTTTATCCATTCATCCATTGGTGGAGATTTGAGTTGTTTACAGACCTTAACTATTAAAAATAAAATGGCTGTGAACATTTCTGAACACATCTTTTGTGGATATATGTTTGCTTCTCTTGGGTAAATATCTTTGGAGTGGGAAGACTGGGCCATTTTGTAGGCATGCTGTTCTTTTTAAGTAGTATTGTTCTGAAGTATTAGTCTTTTAGTGTCAACTAGTGTGGTTATCTTACCCCTAAAAAGTAAGTCCTTGCCTGGGGGTACAGGGAAGTGGATGGGAAAAGGAGTACCCTGGGGAAGAAGTGGAGAGAAGAGATGGTTTGGATTAGGCATATCATCAGGGAAAGGCAAGTGTGGTTTGGTTTCCAACTTGTGTATTGGTAAGAGTGGAGGAAAGAGTACTAAGTATTAACCATCCAAAGATTAAATCCCTTATTTCTCATGTGGCCTTCTACATGCAGAAACTTATTTCTACTGAGATTTCTAAATTTTTCAAAGATTCTAACCCTCTGGAATCCTAATACAGTAATCCTAATACAGTATTGCTCTTACTTTGTACCCAGGTTCTCTGCTTCTGCTACAGTCCATGATGGCCCTTCTGTTTCATAGGTGGTTCCTTGGCAAAGCAGCGACGTGGGGAGATATCTATACTTTTGGAGACAGAATTGTTTCATTAGCTTTTCTATGAGGATTTAAGATGAAATCTCTCAGGACAGTTAGAAGTTACTGTTGCTTATATGATTTTAAGAGTAAATAAAGGTAATTTATAGACAGGATTATTTGGTAGTAAAAAGATAACACGAGATGAGAATATTTTGGTTTTAGCTCTTTTTGATATAGAATATTGAGCTATTCATTTTAGACATGCTATATGAGCTAACACTGGATTTGTAGGGTAGGGGAGGCTGGGGAAGGTCAAGGGGGAAAAAAGGAGACAAATGTACTACTCATTGTAATATTTTAAGCAATAAAAAAAGAAAAAAAACCTAACATGTTTGCACATTTAAAAATGTTATATCAGAAAGACTGATTTCAGCATGTTTTCCTACTAGAAGAAATATTTCTGCAAGTGTTCTGAAAACATCAGCACTGTCATTCTTTTTCTTGAATTCCAATATTTTTTGTTTTACACTTGAAGTTGTGTTTTTTAGGAATCTTTAGGTTTTCTTTATTTTTTAAAATTCATTCTAGATAAGAAGCCTAAAAGAAATTATTTGAAATTAAAATGGAAGGAGCTGCTAGTTACATAAAAGAGGGGAGGAGAGAATAGGAGTTTACTGCCATGATAGGAATAACCAAACCAGTAAGGGTGTTGAATATCAATCCTGTCCCATGTATTAATTACTAACAGTTAATATAGTAGGTACCTGTAGAATATATGAAAATACAAAAACAAACCCTCTATTAAAGGTATAAAGGACTATTTTGTCTTAAGTTCCTTGAAATTGTGCTAATTTAAAAAAGTGCTCTTTTGAGAGAAGATATACAAGGAGATATCTGATTTGAATTGGGCTTCCCAGAGAGCAGCATAATACTTTGGATGTTAAGGCAATGATTTTTGTACTTTTTTTCTCAGTATGACTTATGTTAAAATGTATTTATGTACATTTTTATAGTTCCTGGCCTGACAGGCGTCTTTATGGTATTGGTGCTGTTCCTGATGATTACAGCTTCTACATATGCTATCCGGTGAGTGTCCGAGCAACAACCTCAATATTTATGGGTCAGATTATTTCATTTTCTTCAGATTATCTTCATTTTTTCATGTGTAGAAAAACTCTTGATTAGCCAGAATGCTTAGCCGGTGCAGTATTCCGATGAATAGACTATTGTGGGTAACAAAGAGTGATGTAAAGACATTTCTATATACATCATTTCCTGTTTTGGAAAAAAGAATCTCTGTTTTAGTCAAATAATCTAGGTTGGTAAGGAATTGTGTATAGAGACTTTTTAAAACAAAGAAATTTAAGTTCTTCAGGAGTGTTCTTCTGGAGAATCATGTGTCTATGAGACATGGGATTGAATTAAACATGTATGCACAGGAACATAGCACTTACAGTTTGTTTACAACTCATTTCCTGCTATGTGTTCGTTTTGCTGTAATTTAATGTAATATTCCAAACAAAGCTTAGGAGAAATGGTTAGTTGACATCTGCTAAAATAATCAGAAATATCTGCATTCACAGTATTCTTCTAGTTACGAGATTTTGAGCAATTGCAGACACATATTTTTATGAGCACTTTCACATGTTCTTTCTGGTGGATACATCTGTTTTACACAATATTTTACAGTATCTTACATTACTGGTGAAACTTCTTGCTTAAGAAAGCAAAACGAAGAAACAATATATAATCTTCAAAAATAGTCATTCTAATTATTGAGGTGTGAAATATAATGGAAACACACACACACACACACACACACACACACACACACTTTGAAAGTAATTGTCCCCCACACCATGCTCAGATGAGTCTATCTTTGCACTTCTGAACACATCTATGCTCACAAACGCACACCTTAAAATCTCACAAGCGAACTCACCAATTATATTAACACTATACACTTCCTGGTATTATGTCTGTATACTTCATTCTTCCTGCTTTTACTCACTCATGCCCCATGTTATACATCTACCAAAATCACTCTTTTTCTCTCCTTTTCTCACTCCTGATCTCTGTCTTTTCAAGTCTGCATTGTACCAAAATTGGACCATTTTATTATATGTGCTATTTTAAAACTACTTTTTTCTTAAATCTTCTTATGAACACTTTTTCTCTTTACTATTGGCACAGCATATTACCATGTAGATATACATTACTCTCCCAGCCCCCTATCTTTGTATGTTTCAGGTTGATTCCATTTTTTCAGTATTTCAATTGTGAGACAAACACAGTCTCCATAAGTCTTTGCATACTTTTTAATTATGTCCTATGGAAAAATTCTTAGATAGAGAATGGCTGTCAAATGGTAAGCCCATTTTTATGACTTTTTATAAGAATTAAAAATCACCTTACAGAAAGGCAAATCCTCTAACATTAGTGCGGCAGGGTGCCGATTTTGTGGGAAAGATTTAATTTTAGTTAGGTCAATAATTCAAAAACTTACTTTTTCAGTTTTAGGAGCTCTTGAAGAAAAATTAGGGTATCTAACATATTTACTTATAAGATTAAGGATATGTAAATATTCTATATCTAGAAAAATAATCCGTAATTGAAAGATAGTGCTGTGGAAAGGAATATAAAGATCAGCTTCTGTTCTCAAGTGAGCCTTTACGTAAATAATTTGGTGACTGTGTCTTAATTGTTAATGTTTTCATTTGTTTAAAAGAGATTATAAAACTAACTCTGCTTCAAGCTTCATTGTGAGGATCATGAAATTCTTAAATGGATCATGGAAATAATCTTTTACTTTTTCTCTTTACCAGTAAGGAAATAAAACATTAGAGAAATCAGGTGAATAAATATGACTTCACTATTTGATTTCTGGCATTGATTGTAGTCTAGTAATTCACCAATGGCTCAACATGGGTCAATTATTAATATAAGTAATATATTCGCTTAACAGAGGACAATAATACAAAAATATTTTCTCATCTCAATAGACTTAGAAATGACAGTTGTTAAATCTGAACTCTCATCAGAGTTAACTAAAAGTTAATTTCCTTTTTAGAATTAAAAAGTATAAAAGCCAGAACTGAGTTCATACTTACAGTGAAATATGAGATACATTCCTATGAAAATCATGAAACAAAGTGATGTTTTAATTTCTTTAAAGGACGGCATTATGATAAGAAATTAAACATTTATAATTATTAAATTCTAAATTAAACATTTATAATTATTAGTAAGAATGCAACAACAAATTATCATTACTTCCAGAAAGGTAGGTATAATTGCCTCGCCAGAAAATTCAAGAGGATTATGGAAAATTTTATTTATATTAACTAAAGGAGTTAAAATGGGTAAATGATTACAAAACACATGTTTAAAAATCTCTTTTATAATGGCTATTATCAGTTTGAAAATTGAATAAAATAAAAAGATAGCACTAATAATATTAACAAAAACATAAAATTTCTACCAATAAGTTTATGAGAGAAAAAAGTTATAGAGAAAGTAATAGAGAAAAAACATAACCTCACTGAGAGAAATCAGTAGAGACTTGAATAAAGACTATATAATGCAAAGATGGAGTTCTTCCTCAATTATTTTATAAGTTTGTTGCAATTCAAGTCAAAATCCAAGATAGGTTATGCTGTTTGCTTATTGAATTTAGCAAAGTGATCCTAAAGTTCATCTGAGGGAATATCCAAGCACGTGTTCCCAAAGAGGAATAAAAGGGGTTATGTGGCTCACTAAACATTAAAGTGATTAAGCTTCCATAACTGAAAGCCGATAGAACTTGCAAAAATAACCAAGACATTGAACCAATGATAGAGACGATAGAAAGCCTTGTTAAGACACTTTGTTGTGTATAAGAACCTACTAAATAATAAAGGTGCCTTCACAAACTTATGATGAAAAAAAAGAGTAAGTGAATGAAATTCAAGATAATTTACAGTTAGCTATTAAAAAATAACACCATTAAAAATTTAGAAGAGACTTTAAATCTGTATTTATCAGATCTCATAAAGGACAAGAAAAATATAGAATATATCTGACTTTCTAAAAATAGGTAAACTAAAACAACATACGTTATAAAAATTGAAATGTAAACATGTTATTTTACAGATTATTACAGTTTTGTGGAACTACTACAGTCTTAAATTTTGAATAATGTACTCACAACAATTAAGGAAAAATCACTATAGAAATGGGTAATTATTATGAATTGATAAGTGATAGAATTAAAAGTGTGTAACACACAAATGAAATAATACCCAATTCCACTTGTCCAAAGTAATGAAAACTTATAAGTGGAGCATGGGTTTGAGGAAAAAGACACTCTTAAAGTTGGATTTGTAATTGATAAACATGTTTTCAGAGAGCAATGGACAGTGTGTGTCAAAAGCATTGCATATGTGTACCCTTTGACCTAGCGATTCCACTCATAGGAGTTTAAATGATAAAAGAATTAGATATGTGCAAAAGGCATATGTGACAAGGGTGTTTAATGACCTTGTTGGTGATAGCAGGAACTGAATTAAATAAATGTGAATCAATTGGCCATTGCTTAAGTCAAGGCTTCTAAAAGGATCTAAAGGGTTATATTCAAATCTTCTCAGAAGTTTTTACAAATATCTGCCCTCCACCTCTAAGATTCTAATACAGTAATATCCACCCGGACATATGAAATAAAATAACTGTTAGCTTTCTTTTTACTTGTCTCAAACATTCTAGAGATTGTGTTTATCATGCTCCTTTATTTTCAGGCTCCTTGTTCTCCTGCAGGAGAGTAGCACCAAGGTTGTACATTGTCCAGGAAAATAATATAAAACTTTAATGAGCATTTCCTTAATTTCTCTAAATTTGAGTTTTCTTTAAACTACTCTCAAAATATTTATTGTGATAGGAACATTAGTTGTTTTAGAAGTCATTTGAAAATGGAGAATATTTATAGAAAGGACAGCAAATAGACATAGGAGCCGAGTATAACTCTTCCTTAGCCTTACATCATATCTTTAAAGTAAACCATATTTTAATTTTTTCACGTGTCTTTTTTTCAAATACAAAAATGTGATAGTGTTATGTATAATTTTTTGTCAGTTGTCTTTGCATGGTATGTAAATCCTTTGACATAATAGATAAATCTCAGATGATCTCATATTTGAACTTTCAATTGTGACATGTTTGAAACACACACTCTTTTCAGTGAGATGGAATATGAAGTGGCATTGAAACTAAGTTTTTTGTTTTTTCAGAGTTTCTAATTATGACATCTTCTGGTACACTCATAATCTCTTCTTTGTCTTCTACATGCTGCTGATGTTGCATGTTTCAGGGTAAGTTATAAAAAATATTTTTTAAAACCATGTCACACAACAGCAGGAAGGTAGGGAAGGGTGAGGTGGGGAGTAAGAGATCAACCAAAGGACTTGTATGCATGCAGATAAGCACAACCAACAGACTCAAGACACTGGGGGGTGGGAGTGATGAGGGCAAGTGCTGGAGGTAAGGGGAGGCCGGGGGGAAGTCAATAGGAAAAAAAAAAGGGAGACATATGTACTACTATTTGTAATACCTTAAACAATAAAATACAATAAAATAAATACTTTTAAAAATGGGGTAATAAAAGATACATCTGCAGGAATTTTCATTGGGAGTGGTAAATTATTTGGTTACTTGAAATTGAGGGTAGTGTCAAGAATGGAAGAAATAATTTTATTTTTAGCATAGCATGTTAAATGGAACTAGTAGAAAACTATATTAAAATTGAGAAAAAGAGTTACTTTTCCCTTGGTTTATGATTTTTAAAGCCCCTATAGCTATATCCTGATAACTTCTCTAAGAAAATAAGAAGTAAAGAACTTCCAGAAGATATTTTAGTATTTGTATTTCCAGAAAATTCCTTATGTCTCACTGCTGTGGAATTTGTAATGATGGAGTTACCAGTTTTTAGTTTTAAATGGCCTAGAGGTAATAATAGTTGCAATGAGCCAAAGATTTACAATGACCAAAGACAAGGATGTGTCAAACCACTAAAAAATCACACAGGGAAAAAGGAAAGTATCCTAAGCTTGTTACATAGAATATACCCCAACTGTTCTGAAAAGTATGTGGACACAGGCAGTGTTCTCAAAAGTATGGTGCTAAAAATAATCCATTAGGTCAGAGGAAGAAAGTGGTATATTTTTTGTGGCTGTATACATCTGCATGATCACCAGAGTGGACTTTACTTTTGTCTCGACACTCACACCAATATGACACAGTAGGCCATTGTCTGGTGACATTCACTTCGTGTAGCAGAAGGATGCGGGGCAGGCAACACAGAATGTCAACAGGATAAAGCCAGGTGCCTCTTCAGTGGGAGTCTCTATTATTGTTCAGAAACCATTTTCCATCTCCCCTCCCTTACCCCCAATGTAGTAACTCTGTTTTAAGATGACAAGACCATATGGATAGACATGGGCTACTTTGCCTTAGATAAGGCTCACATTCCACAGGAGCCAATATCTTGGTAACAGCCCAGGTCTCCTCAAGGGATGCCTTCTGTTGCTAGAACACACTGCACATACGAAGCTGAGGTTGTGAGTCCTAAAATGATTTTATAATTCACTCACAGACCTTCTGGTCCAGATGCCTTCCACCAATAAGAAATACTGTTGCCTGGTACACATCTGGCATTCCCCATTTATCTTAATCTCAGGTGTTCCCAGGGGAAGTGTTGGAGAATGGTTCAGACCTGCTGTTCATTCTTTCTTCAGAATGTTTTATAGTGTACTTTGTCAGTACATTAGGTCATATACATTAATTGTATATTATTTTCGGGGCACATGTTCAAATCCTCCCTTCCTCCTCCCTGATTTTGCAGACCACTGGTTTAGAAAGCACTATTTTATGGATCTCTACCTCATAAGTCCTGGTTGATTTGTTCTGTACCATAGGTCTAGACCAGTGATGGCAAACCTTTTGAGCTCGGCGTGTCAGCATTTTGAAAAACCCTAACTTAACTCTGGCGCCATGTCACATACAGAAATTTTTTGATATTTGCAACCATAGTAAAACAAAGACTTATATTTTTGATATTTATTTTATACTAGAGGCCCGGTGCACAAAAATTTGTGCACTCTGGGCGGGAGTCCCTCAGCCCGGCCTGTGCCCTCTCGCAGTCTGGAACACCTAGGGAGATGACCACCTGCTGGCTTAGGCCTGCTCCCCGGGGGATTGGGCCTAACCTGGCAATCAGACATCCCTCTGGCAGCCCGGCAGCCCTCTGGAGATGTCCACTTGCCAGCGGGAGCAGACCTAAGCTGCAGTCAGACATCCTTAGCGCTGCTGAGGAGGCAGGAGAGGCTCCCACCACCACTGCTGTACTGACAGCCATCAGCCTGGCTTGTGGCTGAGCAGAGCTCCCCCATGTGGGAGCGCACTGACCACCAGAGGGCAGCTCCTGCATTGAGCGTATGCCCCCTGGTGGTCAGTGTGTGTCATAGTGACCAGTCATTCCCAGTCTTTTAGGGTCAGTTTGCATATTACCCTTTTATTATATAGGATAGAGGCCTGGTGCATGGGTGGGGGCCGGCTGGTGTGCCCTGAAGGGTCTCCCCGATCAGGGTGGGTGTCCCGCTGGGTGCCTGGCCAGCCTGGATGAGGGGCTGATGGCTGTTTGCATCTGGTCACACCCCCTTCAGGGTCGGGGTCCCCACTGGGGTGCCTGGCCAGCCTGGATGAGGGGCTGATGGCTGTTTTCAGGCTGGCCACACCCCCTTCAGGGTGGAGGTCCCCACTGGGGTGCCTAGCCAGTCTGGGTGAGGGGCTGAGGGCCGTTTTCAGGCTGGCCTGTGACTGAAGCTCCCAGCCTCACCTTTTTTCTTTTTCTTTTTTTTATTCTGGGATTTATTTACCTTCTATAATTGAAACTCTGTTGCCGTCACTGGCGCTTCCAGCTCTGAGGCCACGGCTGGCTGAAAGCAGGTATCTGGGGTTTGTTTAGCTTCTATAAATGAAACATTGTTGCTTCCGGAATTCAGAGCTGGGCCGTGGCAGGCAGGGAACCTTGGCTTCCTCCATCACTGGAGCAAGCAAACTTCCTGCTCACTTCAGCTGCGTGGCTGTCGGCTGCCATCTTTGTTGGCAGTTAATTTGCATATCTCGCTGATTAGCCAATGGGAAGCGTAGCAGAGGTACGGTTAATTACCCTTTTTGTCCTTTATTAGATAGGATATTTAAATGCCATTTAACAAAGAAAAATCAACCAAAAAAATGAGTTCATGTGTCACCTCTGACATGCGTGTCATAGGTTCGCCATCACTGGACTCTAGACCATATAATTACAGAGTATCAGAAACATAGCCACACATTGTAATCTCGACTTCCAGCTAGACATTCTTGCTACACAGAAAGGGCCATGGCCAATGAGAGCTTTTTCCTTTGTAGGGATAACATTCTGTGGAGAATTTGGATACAAGGAAAGCTCATGGTAAAGAAAATCTGCTTTGCATTCTGTTCTTTAAGTGGCCTGTTTGCCTGCCCAGAGCTATTATCATAAAATGGACTATGAACAAGCAGATGCTACTAATGAACAGTAATTGAAAACAATTACATAGTGCTTACTATATGCCAACTATAAATTCAAAATGATTTAGATGCTTTATCTCATTAAAGTATCATGATTTTTTAAGGATAAATAATAATTCAACCCCCCCCTTTATGGGTGGAAAAACTGAAGTTTAGAGAGAGTAAGTAACTTGTGGAAGTTTACTTAATGATGGATTCTGGTTTCAAATCCTGACATTCTGGCCGAAAAACTTACTTTTTTTTTTTTTTTTCACTCTTAGGAGAGATCAGTACTTCTGAGAATTTCGTCTTAGATTTTTTAAAAAGGGTCAATATCTTGATTTATCTGAGATTGTGATCTCTCTCTCTCTCACACACAGATCTATAACAGATTGAGAAAAATGCAACTATTTGTTAATTTAATTATGTATGCATTCTTTGGCCTTTATGTTATACTAAGTTAAAACTCTGAAAAAACCCCTGTTTCTTTGCAGTTCAAAACAGAGTCATTTTTTTTTAAAGGTTCAGAAGTTCAAATGGACTTAAGTTTAAATAGATTATATTGAGAGTTCTTTCTCCATTGTTTGAAAATTAAAGAAGGCATAGTTAAATTTTCATTTTATTTTTTTATGGAATAAGGGTCATAAACAGAAAGTTACTTTATACAGAGAAATAACGAAAGGAATCTACTGGCTGAATTAAATGTAATCATACCAACTGAAGTAATAGTTCTTTACATATTATGGGTATAAATTAAAAAAAATTCATAATACTAAAATAAGTATTATGCAATAAAAACACAATACTATGACCAGTCTAGAGTGAAGATTTTTAAATAAAGTTTAATTTTTTAAAGTATAACTGACTAATAAGATTATATTATTTACAGTATACAATCTTCAAGATAAATAAAATATCATCTTATGATATACATATGTTATGAAATTATTACCACAATCAAATGAATTAACACATGCATCACATCACCTAGTATTTTTACCTTGTGTGTGTGTTGTTTTTCTTGTGAGAATGCTTAATATCTGCTCTATTAGAAAATTTCAAGTATACAATATAATGTTATTAACTATAGTCACCATGCTGTACATTAGATCCTCAGAATTTATTCATCTCATTACTAAGAGTTTATAGCCTATATAGCTTAATTTTGAATAAAAGCGTCTAGTGCATGACAAACTACTATTGATAAGTTGTGCAGCCTTTCAAAATGGACATTTCTCAACATGGTTTTTTTTTTTTCATTGCTAAAGGCTCTGTCTGTAAGTAAATCTCTTGAAGTTATTAACCTCTGTGCCAATGTTGAGGACTTACACATATCTTTACTATGAAATGACTTGATAGTTTCATTCTTTAGCTTTTGGTTACATGAGTAAAGTGCAGTTATTCAAAACAGGTTACTCGTGTTTATGTTGAGATTCCTGTTAAAGAGTATAATTTAAGTTTGAACAGAAAAGTCACTGTTTGCTGAGAATTTACTCCTTTTTTTAATCAATATGGTCAGTACTATAATAATGTATAGGATGATAATTTAATGTGTGATCTTTAGCCCCCTAGCATTGGTTATTAGTTTGGAATTTAAATCAATCAGTTGAAATAGCTAAAGATACCTTTAAACTAAATACTTTACATCTGTAAACATTTTGTTTTCAAGAATTCTATAACTTAGGGCATTGAAGGATCAATGTGGGTTAGAAATTTAGAAAATTTTACCCTTTAAGAATGAAGTGATTAGAAATTGTTTGCTGATGTCTCCACCTAAGCAGCAATT